AAGCTGCCGATATTGTTCCAGGGTGGAAGCGAAATACGAGCTGCTGACTCCGGTCGCAAGACAAATTACAACATCAACATCGGCTGATCGAGAACCGTGACATTAAACCGATAATGGATTTAATAGAGTCATCAATCAGAAAACCTACCTGGCAGGACATTTCTATCTGTAGTCCTACAACCAAACAGTATTGGGCACTCTGGGATTCACTTCACATTCGAAACGGCGTCTTATACCGGAAATTTGAATCGGATGATGGGAAACGTTTCCGATGGCAGCTGATACTTCCAAGTCCCGCATTCCTGATGTCCTTAAAGAACTACATAAAACAGCCCTACGGGAGGTCACTTTGGAATAATGAAGACCTTACAGAGAGTTCGTGAGCGCTTTTACTGGAATAATGCAAAGGATGACGTGCAAAAGTGGTGCCGATCCTGCGATGCCTGTGCAGGTCGGAAAGGACCGAAGAGACGCAGCCGAGGCAAGCTGCAAAACGTTTACAAACTTAGGGGCGCCTTTTGAACGTATCGCCTTTGACATCTTAGGACCCTCTGCCACGAACTGCTGATGGCAACAAATACTACTCGTTGTCATTGATTACTTCACCAAGTGGCCTGAAGCGTACCCCTGTTCCTGATCAAGAGGCTGTCACAGTAGCTGAGGTAATGATACAGCACTGGATTTCCAGGTTCGGAGTGCCTCTTCATTTACATTCCGATCAGGGAAGGAATTTTGCCTCGGCAGTAATCAAAGAACTATGCAAACTACTCGGCATTGACAAAACTCAAACGACGCCATTGCATCCCCAGTCGGACGGCATGGTAGAGAGGTTCAATCGAACCATCCTTAATAACCTCTCTTTAGTGGGTTTCCAGAAACCAACAGGACTGGGACAAATTACCACTCTTTTTTACTGGCTTACCACAGTGCTGTCCACGAGACTACCGGCTATTCTCCATCACAAATGCTCTTCGCTCGGTCTTCGTCGTGCCTCTTCGTCTGCCTTGTGATCTATGTTTGGCCGCCCTCCGGATGCTCCTTCATCGTCTGAGGAATATATTCAAGATCTCCAGGCTCGGTTTGAAGTGATGGACAACTTTGCACGAGAGCGAGTCAACTTGGCGACGGAGAAGAGGAAGACCCGATACGATACCAGAGATACTGGACATCCGATTCAACGAAGGAGACAAGGTTGTGGTTGTGGAATCCGACTCGACGGTAAGGACTCTGTCCGAAACTACAGTCACCTTTTGGGATGGTCCCGTACTCAGTCCTAAACAGGCTGAACGACGTCGTGGTTCGGATTCCGTAAGTCTTCCGAAGTCTAAGCCTTAAGTCGTTAATTACGACAGGTTAGCTCCTTACTATAGACCATAGTACGTAATGTATATAATCGTAAATAGTATAAGATCATGGTCCTTTTTTTTTTCTCAAATGTTGTATTTGATTTGATTTGTATTTAGTGTTTGATAGTATGCATTGAATTTGATTTGAATAAGTTTGATTTGTTTTATCTTATTGCATTTATTGTTTATGTTGTTTATTATTGTAATGTAATGTGTATTATTGCATTTGATGCCACAGTTGTAAGTTTAGGCTTCCTCTTCAGGGAATTGTACTTGCCCGACACGTTGCAGTCTTTGGGAAGGGGACAATGTTACGAATTTTGGTACTTTAAAAAGCTAATTTTTAGTAGAATTATAAATTAAAATTGGTTTCATTTACCGCGTGCAATGTAGCGCGTGACGAATATTAAAAGAAAGCTAAGCCGGAAAATTGAAAATACAAAGAGCGCGTGCATTAAATAAATAAATCTCTCTTTTGATTTCGAGAAAGTACTGGAAAATTCTAGCGCGTGATTTTAAAATCTTATAAAAGGAGGAAAACATCTCAGTTTGTAGTAGTTGCTTAGTTTGTTATTGTTTAGAAAACTGCTCTTGTTGATTGTAGCGAATTCGCGGATTAGCGTTCTTTAGCTGTTTTGAATTACGTTCTATTGGACATTTGAGTAGTTAAAAGATAACTACTGTGAGATATTGTAATACTGCATGATAATTTGAGAAAATTTAAGCATTTTTGTTGTGATAATAATAAATTTTTGTTCATTTTTCATCGGACTTGTGCATTCATTTCATAACGAACCCGTACGCACGCAACAATATCAAATTTTAACATATTTGTGACTAATTGTCACCAAAAATATTTAAAATACTGTAGCAAATAAGTAGAATTTATTTCTCCAAATTAAATCAAAAAGTCATGAAAATTCCCCCTTTTCAATAACGCAAAAGTATTTCCTCCTGTTTTATCGAACCGAAATGTATATTCTTGATTTGAAGACTACTTAGTGACTAGAATGGGAATTTTTTCAAATTATTTAAGTCCTAAAGTTTTTGAACTTTTGTCATTTGTCTTGTTTACTGAAAGTTACATATTGCTGTAGAATATTATTTGCAATATAGAATTAGTTTCTACAAATTGCTATCAAAGCTAAACGTTCTAATTATTTAAATATTGTAGAACTCTAAATATCCTGATTAAATGGGATCCGAACTGAAAACTGCATTTTTTTTTTTTAAATTCAAATACTCATTTATGGAAATGTAAGTTAGAGAACTTGGTACCTTCTTATTATCCACAACCCCGCACAAAAGCAGCAAAAATGTACTGATGAGGCAAAGCACCATGTCATTAAAAAGTATTTATGGGTATAACGTGGTATGCGAGGAGCACCCGAGTATATGCGGATTTGCATTTTTAAAATGCAACGATCATTTTTCTTGATTAATATTTCTTTTTTTTGCATTGAATGCATTTATTTTCATTGTTACGAATCATAATGGAACTGTGAAGTTCGTCCTTTTTTACTTTCATTACGTTGAAATGTTTCGTTGGAAAGAACGTAAAAATTTTACCTCTTCTTGGGTAATCGTGATCGTAGTTAGGGAGCAATGCTGAGGATGTACGCGATGCCGAGTTTGTGCAAATCACCAATTTTTTTTGCAAACACAGATTGCTGTGTATATGAGGATAACAACAAATCAAAAAAATTACAAAAGGATCTCTCTCTCTCTCTCTCTCTCAAAAAAAAAAAAAAAAAAAAAAACAATCTGAAATGTTTCAGATTTAAATTACGTCCAAAGGGGCGTTTTTTAACATTTTGTGTGTTTACCTTTCTTTATTAAATATCATGTTCTTCGCACTTAAACCATAGATCCAGTGCAACAGCAATATCGCAAAATAGTTTTAAAACGAGCATATCTTAGAATTTCCGATACAAGAGACTCACGCGCTGGAGATATAATGTTTTTTTTCTGCACAACGTTGCCATTGCTTCGCTTTTAAATAGTTGAGTTTGTTACTCAAAAATTCGTTAAAGTTTTAAAAATATGAAATCGATAATAAAACCAATTCTAAATTTCAAATTTGGGATTCCAGATGCCCATATTCGTAGTAGGATTACGTCATTCAAATTCGATTGTTCTATGTACCGTTGTTTTATCACAATACGAGAAATATACATACATTTATGCAGATTTTCATTATTTAATTTCTTCAAAATATAATGCAGGACTCTAACATTTTGTGCAACAGTTTGAAAGTGAACCGACATTTATGAGTCCGACGCAAAATGCCAAAACGAAAGCAATAGTCCTTCGGGACTCAAGTCCCTTTGGACTAAAAAAAAAAGAAAAAAGATAAGGCAAGTGTTTTACTTCCTAGAAATATAGACGACATTGAATGCATCGTTAAAATCAAATCAACTGAATGCATCGTAGATTTAAAGATACCCAACAAAGGTTTCTTTTCAAAGTCGTCAACGAGTTCGACAATGCTCTCTAAAGTCGCCAATCAACGAGCACGCGACTTTTTGGTGGAGATGCAGATAATCAGAAAGCATAGAGAATGTTGTTTTATTTTTCGTTTATAGTGATTTATTTTAACAAAAAATTTAAAATTTAAAAATAAAGTATTTTTCATTGTCCTAAACTCACAATACATTCTTATTTCAACTAAAATAAAAATATGAAATTGGCTTCACATTATTAAATTATTCATTCATTAAATATGAAATTAAATATCTGAACTGAAAACATAATTTCGAATTTTACTTGCTAAAATTAATCAAAAATTGTTTCATGGAATAAAACATTTAAATTATTTCCCTTCAATTATAATTATTTTGTTATTCATGTAATAATATAATAAACAAATGAAATCAGCAATATAATATATATTGTTAAAATCTTGCAGAGAATAAATTTAAGATTTCAGTGAAAAGAATGAGAAATCTTCACCCGTTTTGCTGCGGAAATACTATTTTTTAACAGCCAAATTCAGATATAACAAGTCATTGCTTTTCTATTATTGTTCATGGATTGCATATTTGCTGAACGTCATAGACCAATATGCATATTGCAGGTCAATATGACGTACTTATGCATCTAAATTAGTTTAAAATCGTTCTAAAAAAACCGCTACCTATGCATTATTACCTTTTTACATTATATCATTTATTTAAAAAATCCCAAAAATGAATGTAACTAAATTAACAAACAAACAAACAAAGAAAAGTTTAAGAAAGAAGGACAAGCATGAAGGTAATTATAAAACTAGACAATTGAAGATTTTATGTAATTAATATTATATGTAATTTAGTACGCAGCAGAATTAAGCTTGCTGAGAGTAAATAAATCCTTATTAATTGTACATCCTCTTATGTGTTACGTACTTAGCATCAAACTCAGCTGTTGTTTCAAGCAGCTTGAAGCAACAGCTGTGTGTGATGTCATCTGAGTGTTTCAACATCAAACAATGTTCTAAAATAAAATATATTATTTTAAAATACGATACTCTTTCTTTGTTGTGCATTGAAAAGAAAATTTGAAAATCAAGTCTAAAAGTTTTATTTTATATCGGAATATCAGTAATTAGTAAACCTAATTCTTATTTTGTACACTGCTTTCTTTATGCTGCTCATTTTATTTTTATTTTTATAGTGAATATGAAAGTCTGGATTCTGTTTTCCTTTTTAGCTCTAGCATTAGCAAAAGAAGATAAAGGTAAGCAAGTTTGTTTTGCTATATTAAGCTATACAATACCAATTAAAATATAAATAGAAGTATTTTACGCGAAACAGAAAATTAATGTCAAGAAACACAGTTTAACTGAATTGATACAACGATTTCTCTTTGTTCATGAAATGTTAAACTGACTATTATTAAAGTATTATTATTAAAGTATTATTATTATGCTAAACCGACTATTATCAAAGTATATTATTAAGCTTAATATGGCATGAAGTTATTAAAATTGTAATTTTAAACATAGGCATAGCTAAACGAGCCTCAGATTTAATTTCCTTTGGATTTGATTATAATATAATTTGTCAAAGCATATGAGAACTTTCTGCTTACGTGCATCTCAATTTTGATTGGCACTACTCCCAGCGGGATATAATCAGAGGCCATAGAGCATTTTCTTCAACTACTACGACCTCTTGTGAGGATTTTCGGATCGACAGATTTTTAATCTCCTATATTCTTCAAAGACATTATAACCATAATTTACCATTATAAATTGATACTTAGTTTCCGTAAAGATTTCTTAGTGTCTGCTAAATTAATATATATATATATATATATTCATAACAATATAGATAAGATAATAATTTGGTATATTTGTTGTGAAAAAAAGGAAGACTTCAAGCGTCTTAAAGTTTTGCATTTACTTAAATACACAATGGGTGTAAAATGCTTTAGGAATAGTTTTTCTAACAAATGCAGGCAAATATGCCAAACGATAATTGACTTCACTTATTAACACGGCATCTCAACTTGCTTTTCCTAAAATGTCATCTGCTTATGCACGGAATTTTCTATGAAGGTAATCGTTTGCTCTGATCCAGTCAACATCTTCTGCCACGTATTCGAAATCAAAGCAATGAATAGGAATAAATATTTTGCTGAAATCGGAAATTAATCTTGAATTTGTTTAAACAGTTTGAGACTAAATGGGGAGCTTTGTGCTTTGCTTATAATTCTGAGACAAAACAGCAATGATTTGTTTATACTGGAAGAGGTTCATCACGACTACAGAAACTTCGGTCTTAGAGACCCTCGAGTAAAAGCCATATTAATGACTTTTTTGATTAAGAAAAGGTAATTCACAGATAATATGTCCTTGGGTTTTATAAATGTAATGTTGATATTTCATAAAGACCTAAGAGACGAAATTCTAAAGATAATTCAGCGAGTTAGACTTGAAAAGGCTCAATCGAGTAATTGGTTTCGGCTGCCCAACAGTGTCTCGTCACACAGTTTTATTCTTGTTAAGCAGTTTATAGAAGAGATAAATATCACAGTGCTCACCCTCCTTGTCCTCACCAGAAATTAGACCCAGCAGATTACTTTCTTTTTCTCTCCACGCAGATCATTATTTTAATAGTATTGAAGAAATTCAGAAAACTGAAACGAAATAAAATAGTATTAATCAAATAACCAAATAAAAAATGAGATATATAGTAAGTTAAAATTAAAATTTTATATTTCACGTTTATATCTCTTGCCTCTTCAGAAACTTAACTATTAGCAATTTGTTATCGTCCATGAGTCTTAAGATGTCAAGCTTTTTTATTATATATATTTTATGGCAAGCTCTTGCAATAAAATAAACTTGAAAAAAATTTACTGAGAGTAAATCATTAGAAAGGTTTCAAACCGAATTCATCGATATAAGCGGTTTTAATTTGCTTACACGGTTAATCGTCCATTTTTCCAGTACGTACATCAGCATTATCTTGTAGGATACAAAATACTGTTGCGAACTACAGCCTCACGCCTGTCACTTTAAATAATCACTCCAGATGAGCAGGAAAAAATTGGCAATTTATTATTATAAATAATAATGACGCCCATCAAAATAAATAGCTGTAAATAGCTCAAGGAGAATGTAGATATTAAGTGAAAGTACGGAAAATATCGGAAATTTTCAAACATTGAGTAAATTGAAATTGTAAATCGCAGTTCAGCTAACTATTTTTGAAACGCAGAGTTTCCGAGCTGATTAGCAATTGATTCATCCTTGCTCGCCAAACAGTTTATGATGTTACATGGGCTGTTGCAAGGGCTTCTGTACTGACTACCAATAAGTATATGGACACCTGTGATAGAAAAGAAAAACTAACTTTATTCAAAATCAATAGTTAGTAGAGCCTCTACGAGAGGTAATTACAGCGTGGGCCCTCCGGGGCATGCTTTTCACAAGTCTTTGTATGACAGCTGGTAGTATTTTCTTCCAATCGGCTTGGAGAAGACATAGAAGTTCCTTTCCCGATTTTGCACGGGTAGTGCACCCCTGAATTCGGCGATGCGACTCGTCCCAGAGGTTCTCGATAGGGTTGAGGTCTGGACTCTGAGCAGGCCAGTCCATTCGATGAACTCCATTGGCACCTTACCAAGCCTTGGTTAACGTCAAAACATGACAACTAACATTGTCGTCCTGAAAGTAACAGGGTCCAACCCGTAAAACTGCCACAACGTAGGAAGCACATTGTCATCCAAAATAGTGCAGTAGGCATCGGAGTTGAGCTTACCATGAATGGGCACCAAGGGTCCCAGCCCATACCAGGAGAAACACCCCCAGACCATAATTCCACTTCCGCCGAACTTGACTGTTGGCACAATGCATTCTGGCAGGAGACGTTCTCCAGGTAGACTCCAGATCCAGAACCCCTGCCATCCGAACGGTAAAGGGTGAACCTTGATTCGTCACTCCAAAGAACCCGTTTCCACTGATCTACGGTCCAATTTCGATGTGCTTTTCACCACATTAACCGAGCAGCGCGGTTGGACTTTTGATCAAAGGCTTATGGGCAGCAGCACGACTATGAAAACCAAGCAGATGTGCTTCCTTATGGATGGTATTTCATTGAAACAATACTCCCGGATGCCTGTTGAAACTCCTCGCGGATGAGGGCCATCGGTTGGGTGCGGTTCTTCCGAATTTCTCTGGACAGCGCTCGTCGATCTCTATCCCCCAGTTTCGTTGTTCTGCCGACTCGGGGCACATTCCGACAATCACCGCTCACCTTCCACTTCTTAATCACATAGGCCACTGTCGATTTTGGGTACTTCAAATCGCTAGATATGTCCCTTAAGGATCGGCCACATTGTGATACCCGATAATTATACCTTTTCTCGAAATCAGAGAGCTCCGAACTGCGAGGCATCTTGCATGCGACTAAAGGCGATGCTGTTTCCTACACGATATATACCGGCGGAGTCCGTGACGTACCTTATGACCGCAGATATCGTCATTTGCAAAGATGTCCAAATGCTTATTGGTAGTCATTGTGGAAGCTGAGGAAAAAAAAATCTTCGCAAGGCTTTGAAAATCTGTTTTCAAGAAACTTAAAGTCGCCAAACAAAACCATAAAGTCGCCAAGTTGGTTCGAAATCGTAAAATATAGCCAATTTGAAAACAAAAATTATTGCCGGATCAGGAGCCAATATCGCATATTTAATCTGAGCTATTTTTACGTCTTAAACGTTGTTGGACTCAGAATTGAAAGACATATAATTCTAGTCAGACGTAAACATTCATGTCCAAAATGTGTTGACACAAATTCAGCTACAAACAAAATAATTCCTAAAACTATTATCATAAAATCAGCAAATAAAAAAAAATAGCTAAATAAAATAATATAAAAATGTTACTATAATACAGATACACCCCCCTAACCACACACACACACACACACACACAAAAAAAAAAAAAAAAAAAAAAAAAAAAAAAACAGTTAAATGAATTTAAATATTTACAGAAATTAAAGGCAATACAAGTCTACTATAGCCTAGTAACTGCATCCAAACTATCTTATATTACAAAGACAAACAAATAAAAAAAAAGTTTACGAATGAAATGAATGACAAATTTACGTGAAAAAATTATTTTACATTTTATGCATTATTTTATATGGTTTTAGGAAAACGCCCACAGGAGAAAAACCCACAGGAATAATGCTCACAGGTATAAATGCTCACAGGAAAAAAGCCCACACAGAAATATGCCCACATAAAAAAAAGCTCACATGGAAAAACGCTCACTTAGAAATATACTTACACGGAAAAAAGCTCACACAGAAGTATGCTCACATGGCCATTGATAAATAATTCTCATAGAAATATCCCTACATTAATGAATCAATGATTAATCGATTTGAATATCGTACACCTACTTGAATTTTCTAAAGGAAGATTATTTAAATTATCAAAACATCTATGGTATATATTTCAAAAACTTTATAACTTATGTGTAGATTCAGTTGCTACACAAGATTAACAAATGGGCCGTTTTAAATTAAAATGAGAGGAGAAAGGAAGTAAACATTAAACAGAATTATACCGTAAAAATATTATAATTTTAATTGTTAAAAAAATAATAAATAATAAATATAAGTTACACATTTTATAATATAAACATTTAGAAGAATAATGAATGAGAATTTAGAATCTTATTTTTATTTAAATTATTTAAAATATTTAATTTTATCATCGATTTCATCATAACTTCTTACATGATTGACGATTACCAAATGTAAGTTTTTCATGTTTTCTTTTTTTTTACTTCAGTACATCCTGTATTTACATTAGCTAATAACAATGTTCAATGCTGCTTCAATGATACCTCTCAGTTGAGGCTCTTAGCAACTGAGAGGCACAATGATGGCTTTCCTGTGAGCATTTATACAGTAAAAATTCAAAAAAGTGTCTAAAAATGTTAATTTTTTTCCTAAAATTTTAAATTTCTGCAGAAATTTTACAACCTTTTTGGCTCAATAAACTACATTCAAACATCAATTTCTGTAGATACACATCAAAAGTATGCAAAATAGATTAAATAAACAAAAATTAATTATTAGCAGTTACAGGGAAAAAATGTCGTACAGGGCCAGTGGTATAAAATATTACAGTACGTGCAAAATTTTACTACAGTTTTCATGCTTTTATTTATCGCCTCTGAAAAGGTTTAATGTGAGCATTTGTCCGTGTGAACATACTTCATGTGAGCTTATTTCCGAGTGAGTATATTTCTAAGTGAACATTTTTCCATGTGAGCTTTCTTCTATGTGGGCATTTTTCCATGTGAGCTTCTTTCTATGTGAGCATATTTCCTTGTGGGCTTTTTTCCTGTGAGCTTTTATACCTGTGAGCATTATTCTGTGAGCATTTTTCCTGTGGGCATTTTTCCGGTCATCGTTTTATATATTGATTGCAAAGCAGTAGCAATATGATTGTTTTATTAGCGAATATAATCGATTCGACTGCAATTATCATGATCTTCCTTTTTTTCTTGGGAATCGAGACACTCCTTTTTCGACCCATTGTATTGTTTAAGATTGCAGAACAATACTAAATACCATGAAAAACAAGCCAATAACCGCGGGGCTCATGTTTTATTGATCGCTGAATTTACTAGGCTAATGAACTGTTTAGGAAGATAACTATCGTCACACTTCATTTAAAGCAGAATAACTGGTACTAAACGCAGGGCAATATTATGAAGAGAAGGTGACTTCTAATTTATTATAATGACAAAATTATTTTTAGACGGATAAGATTTAGCTGTAAAATTGTTAGCAGTTCTTCTCAGCCTGTTATCCAGTGCGAAATCTGCAGATATTTAAACACAAGTATTTCGAATATCAATTAAATTTGTAGCTAATTTTGAGTGAATATGTTAAGTATTTGTAGTAGTTTGGTATATCCTAAGAGGAATGAAATTCAACTATATTTATTCTACATATTACTATACGCGTTTTTAGCACAAATGGGCCCATTAGTTTCAAAAAGGGATTTTGCGTCAAATCTCTTTAAATGTCCGAATTACTTTTCAAACTTTTGCCACCAAGTATTATCGTTTTGCCTAGTAACTGCATCCAAACTATATTATATTATAAAGGCAAAGAAATAAATAAAAAGTTTACGAATGAAATGAATTACAAATTTACGTGAAAAAAATTATTTTACATTTTATGCATTGCTTTATATATTGATTGCAAAGCAGCGGCAATATGATTCAGTGTAAGAATATACATTAATTTAGTTATTTTTATCACCATGTGAATAAACAACGGTGCCTAGGGTTATCATATGTTGAATAACATAGTCCTTCCCTCGAACATGAGCACCTGGAAGCTCGAATTTGGAATTTAAAATTTGTTTTATTGTCTGTTTCATATTTTGTAAATCTTTAATGAATTTTTGATTAAAAAACTCAACAATTTCAAAGCGAGCAGTGGCAACACTGCAGGAAATAAAATATTTTTATCTCCAGTGCGCGAGACTGTCTATCGAAAATTCTAAAGATATGCTGTTTTTAAATATTTTAGCACAATGTGGCGTTAGCCCAAATGCTGTCGAATCTTGTATGTACAGTGAAAATCGCTTAGCAAGAAACTGAGGGGAATTAAATATTTTTTTTCGTGTTAAAGGAAATATATATAATTATATATTATATATATATATATATATATATATTGCATGTATTTAATAAAAAAATTCAACGAAACAAAAAATCCACAAGAATTTAATTTAATACAAAATTTTCAAGTTTTTTTAAGAACAAAACATTTATTGAGGTTTTGGGAAATAATCTTATATTTTTATTTACATTATATTTTTTAGCATCAAATTGTCAAAAAATTGTCCATTTTGTTATTCATTTCACCATTGGAATGTGAGTCTAAATAGCTTCGCATACTTTTCATGATGTTCCTCATTTAGAATGACGTGGGAACAGGAGCTGCATTATTCATTTCATTTTCGTGGAATCTGCATCAATGATATTTTCTGAGCTTTGAACAAACTCTGAACTCTCTTTGAACGAATTCTTTCGATGATACAGTAGGATAGTCCAATAATACAGAAACATTCTCAAAAATTTCATTAAGTGTCAGTTGCTCAGTTGCAATATCCTCCATTTCTTTTGACACGAACCAAATTCGCTGATTTTTAAACACACTGCAATGTACTCATTACCGAAGTCCAAAGCCAATTAATGAGAAATGAGATATTTTTGTGTGTCGTTCGTACGGGCGGAAGGTGAAAGTAGCTTAGATAAACAAAACTAGCTCATAAACAAAATTGGCTGGTGTCACAGGCTGTACCGAGGGTATTTCAAAGCCAAGTTAGCCTCCTTTCTGCGAAACATGTGAAACCACGTCTGTCATTTCACACTCCTTTTAAATCTCCCTGCGCGAGATTTAAAAGGGGTGTTTTCCGTATTTTGTTCATTCCCAGAAGGGAAATCTTTTCGTATTAAGCGATTTTCGTTTCTCGTTAAAAGAACAACAATGTATGAAAATACATAGTAGTTTCAGAAATCAAACAACAAAAATCAGAGTTATATTTTCAAATTTTCGCAGTTCAAATTTGAAAATATAACGCTGATTTTTGTTGTTTGATTTCTGAACTAGTATTTGTTCGGCGTGTTATTGTGTCTTAACACAGTAGTTTGCCGGAGCCGTTGTATTAGTTCGCGTTAACCGATATTTCGTCTTAAGCGTTTTCGCGTTAAACGTATTTCACTGTATCTGTAAATGAAAAAAAAAAAAAAAAAAAAGACCAGTTTGGGCGGTGTATTGTAAAATCTGAAACCTTTCAGAATTTTTTGTCTTTTATTTATTTTTTAATCTGTTTAACGTAAATATGAATCATTTCGTTTAGGAAGCCTTCACGAAGGCATCTTACTTTAGGTAGACGGCTATCGTGTGTTTTACCCTAATCAATTGACCTAACTTCTCATGTTTTAGAGAGCATTAATTTGAGATGAGACGCTGAAATATATGTGCTGTCCAGCCAATAATGTTTTAAATACGAGGATTGAGTTTTGAGAAATAACTTCCAAACTTTGAGATATTCTTTTATAATCACTGCATGTAGAAATTTAGAGTGTTTATTAAGGGTACAACTATCAAAAATACGTTCATCAAAATTTAATTTTTATTTTATGGGATTCTTCGCAAAATTTGCTTTTAGAAATTTGAAGAAGCAAGGCATTATGTTATTATTCTTATTTAATATAAGTACGTGTAGTTAAAACCGTAACACTGTAAAGCTTAAATGTCTTAAGGTAGCGGAAATCTTTAAAAAACCAAAGAAAAAATCTATTGAATTCACCAATTATCAGTTGTATAACCAGGGCCCCATAATTCTACCAGGGCCCATTCGTTAACTTTCTTAAATATTTTATTCTTCTTCCTTAAAACTAACATTATACTAAAGATATATGTGGTCTTATCATAATGAAAACTTTACTGCTGAAATGCATTCACGCTTTGTAATTCATATCATAAAAGAAAGAATTATCAAGCATGTAAAAGTCTAAAGCCAGAAGAAGAAACATCCACAGAACACGCAGTGAAGAATATATGTGTCCCATCGTTGACACTTATATCCTTCACTGCGTGCCGTTTTCAACACTTTTAAAACGTTGGTTATCCTTATACGTTTTGTAAGTTACTGTTTTTATAAAAATCTTCTTCTTTTATAACTTTTACTTACTATTGCCATTTACCATTTTTTGAATTCTGTCTTGCGATGACCACTCGTTTGAAAACTGTTGGATTTGATACTTATTTATTAGAAATTATAACATTTATCTATCTCATTATATTAATTTGAAGTCTATTTATACTGTTTCAAGCAATGCGAAATTCATTTTATTGACAAATATGAGTCGTAAAAAATTCGCTAGCTTTAAGCGAATTAAATTTTAATTTATTAAATTATTCTATTGTAAGGATCTAAATCTGATCCATTTAGATATTTCGTAACTGATTCTTGAGTTATAACCAGTACAGAAAATTTACATTTCCCATGAAAATGCTTTATAAATTAAAAACTCATTCTTAGTTGTAGTTTTATCTTTTAGAATAAAATAATTAAAAAAAAAAACTTATAATATTTTCATTGAGACACTTTTATGTAATTTTCCATTAATCTAATGGTTAATAAAGTGTTTAAAGTATTCGGACAACAAATGAAATTTAAAGTTGTGTTTTTTATTTTTTTTTTTGCATGTAGATCGCTCGGAGAACATAAATGATATTGGTGTTCCGTATGACGTAAACGGCCAGGGATATTTACCCATTTTTCCTTTTGATGCTTTTAATATAGGGTATAGGAAGTAAGTTATATGTTATTTTTATACTTTATTATGATACCTTTTACTATTTAATTCATATTTATTTGTCAAATACGGAGAAACTGCATAAAATACAAGCGTGTAATAATGCATAGCGTAAAAAGCCCGAAAAATTAGAACTGAAAGTTGGCTTTCTCATAATGATTATAATTTATTGCAAGAAATCTGTATCGAGACTTTAGCAGGCGGTAATGCTAATGGGCAAAAGTGCATTAACATTAAAAAATGTTAAAAAAATTAAGAAAAAGTTGTATTTCTATTCAAAATTACAACTTTTGGATGTTAAAAAAAAAGGAAAACCCCTTTAAACTTATAACTGCCGACTCTTAAAGATTTTATTTTATTATATAAAACTATTTTACTTTATTACCAACTTTTATTGCCTATCTATTGATCATATATAGTCGCAAATCTCATTTTGCTTAATTGAACTGAATAATATAAAAAAGGCAGAATGTTCTCAGATTTTCAGCTGCCATCACTATTACAAACAATCATTTATCTTGTTAATAGAATATATCACCTTCAAGAAGTTTTCTCTTAGTCCTGCTAACCATTCGGAAAAGTAAAAATAAAATAATTTTTTTATGGATAAGTAAAATAAATTGGTTAAGAAAAATAAAATAATTAACAATAAAGATAATTTTTAAAAATAGAAGATTTGGGTCGATAAAGTTATAAGGTTTAGTCTTTTTCTGCTAGCAAAAATTCAGTCTAGCAGCCAATGGCTACACAAACGATTTAACGCAATGTTGGCTCAAGCTTCTCACTGGCGCAACAATTTAAATATCGTAACTATGATGCAAAGCTAAAGAGTACAATCTTATCTGACCTCGCTAAACCCAGTAAGATTGCATTGAGGAGCAGAAACGCTTCTATCTTACAATTCGAAAATCTCACCTTATATACTCTCGAACTAATTTGCATTCTGGTAGGGAAACGGTAAAAGAAATGACAGTAACTATCTAAATCATAATCTAACTGGTTATTCAAAATAATAACAACTTTACAAACTCATAAATAAAACAACAACAGCAAAATGTTAAGTAACAGCAGTTTGAAAAAATAAAGTAAATTAAATCCGCAAAGTAACATAGAGCTGAAAATTTCCATTTGCATTTATTTGTACAACTGGAATTTTCAGGATACGTTATACTTGTTTTCTCAAAGAAAATTCCTGAATAGACAATAAAAAGATCAAACTGAAATCAAATATCTGTGTTCCCTATTCCCTGCTAGCCGATGTTCATTAGCCTATATGCTTGATAAAAAGAAAAGTTAATTTGTATTTCATTGTAATTTTTCAAGTCAATTCTTCGTACTATATAGTTTTATTGAAAGAGGATTCCTTTGATAATTCTGTTCTCTAAAGTTTAAGGGAAAATTAGAAACCTAACAGCTTATTTCCTTGAGGAAAATAAAGTGGAAATTAATCCATTATTTCTTAGATTTCCCAGAGACAACATCTTAGTAGTCCAAGTCTACATCATTAATTTAATTATTAAGCAGAACAGAAGTTTCAGGAAAGACTACAACTTTATAAGAAACCATTTTCAGGAACTGACTAAAAATTTTGAATTTACCTGTGCTTCTCTTTCCCGATGTTAAATGTGACAATCCCATACTTGAATTTTAAGAAAGTTCTCCATCGAAATGTTTGAGCTTGCAATTGAATAGCCATAACCTACAGTATTTGGCACAGAGAATGTAAATATCTATACTACGTTTTGTCTTGAAAAGTAAGGAGGAAGATGTTGCTATGACTACACGGCATAAAATGGGATCAATTTTATCTCAAACTTGAGAACAGCTGAAAGGAAACACTTCAGATATTACAGTATGAATATGGTAATGAAACATGTAGCTTCGTTTCTGTATTTTACACTTTTGCATTTTTCTTCTATATGCAAAAAAACTTCAATATGCTAGTGAAGGATATAACATATTATGGCAAGTTATTTCTTGCTGTTGCAGAAGACAACACTGCACATCCATGAGCAGACGCGATTATGATGTCATATCTTCAAAGCGATTTGTATGGAACAGTGAATAAAAAAGATTGGATTTGCTTAAGAAGCAGTGGTTGCATGTCATTGTTTCTAATGGTCAGACGATTATAACTTACTGCATTCGTCGAGAATGCTCCAAAGTCATCGGCTGTTTAGGCATTTAATCACTGAGAACGTTTCCCAATGTACACACAGGGACCGATATTACACTCGCAAGAAAGGAAAGTTCTGTTTTAGTTTAGTGGTGAGCACTATGGCGAGGGATTTGAGACTCCTGCCCCTCTTCTACCACATATGTTTTGAGGGAACTTTCGGATCAACAGTAATTTGAGTGCTGCTATGCCGTAAAGACAAATACACCGTTAGTATCCATTATGGAATTTGCAGCTTTTAAATTTGAAAAACCTAAAAAAATTACAAGCGTAAATAAATAATTTATTACAGTGCCAGTAAAGAATATGCTTGAAATGAATGAAACATATGCATTTCAAAAGACAATGAAAATGGTTAATTAATTTTATGCAGAATGGTTAATAGAAAAAGTAAAGCTGAAAATTATTTCTTTTGTGTCAGGCAAGAAGGAGTAATAGCAAACTCAAATTTGAAAGCATCACATTTCAGATACTTGAGACCAACAACATACCTTAAAATTGAATAAAAGCTATTAAATCTAAAGGAAAAGGATTAGAAGAAAAAAAAATTATAATCTTATCATTTAAACTGTCACCCGTTTAAAAAGAACAATAAAAACGATAATTCGTCATATCCTCAAAAGTAGACGAATATGAACAGATAAAAAGGCATCAGAAGATTTAATTAAAAATGTGATTGATAAAAATGATTTTGTTAGATTATTCCTTTTTACGATCTTCTTAATTTAAAGAAAATAAGTACTGTATTTATTTTAAGCTTTGTTTGGTTTTCTTTTTTCTAATTATTTTTAAATTCCATAGACACTTTTGTCTTTTAATTAATTTCTAAGTAACCACAGAATCTTATTTGCCGCATGAAACTGCACAAATAAATCTATAAAAGTACATTGTTAAAACAACAATTTGGGTTTCTTTTTCCAATTTGATTCAGAATATAACCACTTTTATTATGCTAATGTATTATTTTTTACTTGAATTTAATCAATCATTTCACATATTCAGATTTTTTACTGCAGTTGAAATGTTTACTGAAAAAATTCTATATTTACTAAATCCTCGTAGAGTCATTAGGCTTTTTTTGATTATGGAAAAAGTGAAAAATGAGCGATGCCCTCGCCGGGATTCGATCCTGGACCTCTCAATTACGCTCCGAGTCTGTTGCAGTTACACCACGACGGCATGCAGAAAGGCGAGGGGAAATACCTTATATTCTTCTCCCTTTAAAGGCGACTGGTGATTAGGGGACCCAATCTCCAAATCCTGGGGATGAAGAATCATCATCTGCCATCTTTTAGTTCGAGCGCCACTGCAAAGTCATTAGGTTGTAGAGACCTTAGGTAATTTTGGAGGCAGAAGAGATGAAAAATTAGCAACGCCTTCGCCGGGAATCGAATCACGGAGCTCTGAAATACCGGCTCAGTGTGCTGACCACTACACCACGAAGGCACGCTAGGAAGGCGGTAGAAATACCTTACATGGTTTTTTTTAAGCTGGAGAAGTAAAAAATGAGCAATGCCCTCTTAAGGACGCGAACCTGGACCTCTCGAATACGAGCCGAGTGTGCAACAGTTATACTACGAAGGTAGGTAGAAAGGAGGGAGTAAATACCTTGCACAATAACAATTAACTGTGCATTTTTAATACATTAATAAATAACTGTAGTGATGGGTAACTAATGAGTAGCTGTGTTTAGAAATTTTAATCAATTGCGAAAGCTCAACCCTGCTTTAGAATATCTTCTTGTCATATAAATACAATCAGTATTCGCGGCATTCATATTAAAATGAAACCCATTTTTTCATAGTTTCATGTGTTTATTAATTTTGTAGAATTTAACTGATTCTTGTAGATTTTTCATGAAAATAAGATAATCATGAGATAACATGAAATGAGTAATATCTTGAGATAACATGAAAATTAAATGCTGTTAATGTTTCTTCCGTCACCATTTTAAAATGAACAGATACTAATTGAATCTTAACAGTTTCTTTAATAGGTATCCTCCTTGGGCTGCTGCAGTAAACAAAGAAGAAACGGAGAAAGAAAGTATAATTTCTTCAGTTAATGACAGAGAGGAATTATTAGACAGTTCGGATTCTTTAATAAGTGAAGTTAAGGAAGAGGAATTTTCAACTGCAGTAAGTGAAGTCGAACTCATAGGTGACCTAGAATCTCAGTCAAGTTCTGGAAGTATCAGCTACAGCAAATCAAAAGATTCTGCCAGTATTTCATTATCTGAAGTTAGTGAATCTGAAAGCTCAATTTCGTATTCAGTTTCTTCAAGGTCAGCATCCTCGAGTTCTGCATCGTCTTTTTCAAGTTCTGAATCGTCTTTTTCAAGTTCTGAATCGTCTTTTTCAAGTTCTGAATTGTCTTTTTCGAGTTCTGCATCGTCGGCATCGTTTTCCTTACCTTCAAAATCTGTGTCGCACTCAGCTTCAGACAAAAGTTCATCAATGTCTGTAACAGCTACGGCGCCTTCTGAATATGAGGTCCAAATTCCTCCTCCGGCCGCCTCTAGTCAAGCAGTTGGAAAGTATCCCAGTATGGAAATCGATCGGGAAGCATCGAAAACGGAATATCAAAAATTAAAAGTGGATGATGTTAGAAAATCTTTGAAAAAAAGTTATGATAACTTAGGGCAGTTGAAAAAGAAGTTGTTCAAGAAGCAGGATGTAGTCGGGGATCTCAGTGAGGTAATGCACCAATATATTCTATATCACACACTTCATTTCACTTTTAATTTTAATTCCGTATATTCTGGCATATAACGTGCACCGGTACATAACGAGCACCTATAATTGTAAACTACATTTCGATATATTCGCAATATAACGCGCACCCTTTTCTTTACGAAGAAACCTGAAAGATACATATGCGATACTCCTATCTTCTGAAGTCATTCAATCGAAAAATTTTCTTAGGATTCCTAGCAATAGTATACCGAACTGAGAAGCGATAAGAAGAACAATAAATGTGTGCGAGAAATCATTGAGGGAGTAAATTATTCTGCAAAAGGGTGAGTTGTATTAATGCAGATGTGCACAAAAATGTTATTCTAGGGTTTCGGGAAAAGGGGGACATAATTTGGCGTAAGAATGAGCTTCAGACCGGAATGGATTTGCAGAATTATGAATCAGATGTTTTCTCATTGTATAGTCATTTGAAGTAGTGAATTTGAAATTGCTTTAGTTGAAATACAGTTGATCCAGTGTTCCTTTTAGTAGTAACTGTGGCTGCTGCCAAACGAAACGAACACAATGCGGTTTCAAACGCAAAGCATTGAGTTTTCGAGAGAAACTGGAAATCGTGCTGCAGTAAGCATGTCTGGTTTAGGCGAAAGTTACATTCGTGAGTGAAAGTAAAATGAAAGCATAGTTATTAATATGCTTTACGTAAAGGAAATTATCCGGTAATGAAAATTTATCCTATGATGAAAAATGTTAAGTTCATAAAATGAACAATTTCTTTTAAATAAACAGCCTTTAGGTACATGTAGGAATTTAATTTCTATATGCTGCAATATACGGTACCTTTTGAAGCAAACTTAAGTATGTAATTAAATTTATTGCATCATGATTTTTTCCCTCCCTAACAGCGGCTTAAGATTCTTGCAAAAAGAGATTCTTTCGCTTAAAATTTCCTTTTTAAAATAATCGTTTCATAATTTTTCAAGAAAAGAAAATTTTATTTATCAGCGTTCTTTAAATTGGATCACCAAAATACAAAGGAAATACGGGCTATGGAAGTAACTTTAAATTAAATTGAAAGAAACTTAACTTGAAAGTAAATTTAAAAATAGATATAATAAATGAAAACCTGGGATAGATTTTTATTGCTAAGTTGCATGCTAATTACACTGGAAAAAATTCTAGCTTTTTTTCAATGTAATGTGTACTTGTAGAGTCGTTAGGTTATTTTGAAGCTGGAGTTGTGAAAAATGCAATGCCTTCTCCTTAACTCGAACCTGAACCTCTCGAATACGCGCCAAGTGTGCTACCGTTACACCACGAAGGCATGCTGGAAAAGAAAATAAGGCTTCAGAAATATATAAGGGAGAAAATACCTCATATACTTATAACAACGTTTTAAATATAATTAGGTAAACATAAGTATTTTGATTTTATGTGCAAAAAATTTAATTCCTCTCATAGAAATTAAAAGCTGTAATTTAAATTTGAAGGCAACGTTTCTTAAGAAACAATTTGTCAAAATTTTAAATTATGCACAAAAAATTCTAATTAATTTTTTTTACCATTGCAAAAGTTGGTTCACTCTTTCAACAAAGCTACTTGATAGTGTACATTGGTACACCATTTTGAATTTTTAAAACACGTTACATCAGTAAATAATAAATCATCAAATGTTTATAGAAAAACTGATCTGTATTGATTTTAAGACCTGTATGCAATATTTATCTATATTATTCATAGGCATTTTGTAATGAATTTTTTACCCTGAAATGTACGACTTGATAAAGATGACTTTGTATTTGAAAAATTCTTCAACAGTTTGAAATTTTAAATTCTTTCATTATATATAGTCTGAACAAATTTATCATTTTGCAAAATTTTTCTCTTTTGTGCTCAGCAAAGTTTGTCATCAGTAGTTTCTCTGCTAATTTGTCTTCGGGATTTACAAAAAAATTAATTATAAAATTTTTAATAAGTTTAAAAGTAAAACGTTTCATGCTTTGAAGTAAATTATTTCAAAAATTTCATTCAAACTCTATTTAAAATAGAATAAATAAAGTGCATAAAATAGTGTCTATATATTTTTATTATGTATTTCTTTCAGAATTCAGAAATTATGAAAAAAATCTTCTAAGAGGAAAATGGATTAAAAATTTCGGCATTCAATTTTCAATAAATTATGTCTTGAGTTTTATAATCTATATGTATAATTTTAATCTATTCTAATTCAAATAATATCGAGTAATTGAAAATAGTCTATTGCAATAGTCTATTACTAAGCAAAACATGTATATTAATTAATATTATTTTGATTTAAAATCCACGAAGGTGGGAAAACACACCTCTTAACTTTTGATCTTATCACAGGTTTAATTTTGCTAAATTCCTTTTTCTATGCATTTTAAATGCAAAAGGTGATTAGGGTACCCAATCTCCAAAACCTGGGGATGAAGAATCATCATCTGCCATCTTTTAGTTCGGGCGCCACTGCAAAGTCATTAGATATTAAATAACCAAAGGTGAAAAAAAGTAATTTGATAATAATTAAGCGATTTTTATAGAGGTAACCTCATGATTCATTGTACTTTCTTGAATCTCTTTTGCTTTTTTGTTCGTTTATTTGTTTGTTCAGCAATATTTTATCAAACATACATTAAGAATGAAGCAAAACTAATCATGCGAGTGTCGAAAATAGATAAATGTTACACAAGCTTACAACTCGCAATAAATAAAAATTAAATCAGATTATTTCGTAAAAGTTTACAGAAATAAACATATAATTAAAAACAGAGAAATCAAAGTTTGAATGCTCTCAGTCAAACTTAAATTCAATCAGATTTAATTTATGTAAATCTAGGCAAAGAGCTTTTCATATGTAATATTACACCTGTCGATGAAAATATCGCAAAAATCTGCGGTTTGTGTTATTTGATTCTAAAATGCCTGTAAAAATTTTAGGCTAAACAATTTTTATAGATTCCTGTGCCCTGGTCTCTTTTCTCCTTCTAATGGAGGTCTAAAAAATAAGCGTCTCACAACAAGAAAATATGAATTAATTTTTGATTAACCAACTCAACAATTTCAAAGCGGTCCATTAACATTAACATAGCGTGCATCTTCAAGCATCACGGATATTTTATGCGCGAGGTTTCTTTACATTTCTTACTGGTATTATGTTGGTAGCGTAGCAATGCAAAGACCTTATAATAGTCTAACGGTATTTTCCGTCGAATATCTGTATCGTAAAAATGTCTGCATCGCCTGTATCTATATGTAAGATGTCGAATGTCTGTATCCCTTTTCGAATGCCATTTCGAAAATCCCGTGGAAAAAACGCCCCTTTGGACGTAATATAATATCTGAGAGCTTTCAGATTTTTATTGATTGATTGATATTTCTTTTTGATGTTCTTTTAAAAAGCAAAAGTAACAAGTAAAATGGACATTTATAGTGAACCGGTACTATAAATGTCCATTTATAGTAAGATGGCGGCGTTTGTAGTAAGGTGAAAGTGAAACGGACATTCGTTTTTAGTGAACCGACGCAAAATGCCATTTCGAAACTAGACTAACTCACCTTTGGGCTAATAATAAATAAATGTCTGTTCCATTTTCTGGCATTATCATTTTCGTGTGTATATTATTTAGCTATGAATTATAATTTTAAGAACGAATGCACTTATTGCAAAATTTAGAGTAAAGTGTATTAAATTTCAGCTAATAATATAATGTGTATTAAATTTCAGCTAATAATATAATGTGTATTTAATTTATTAAAAATATTTGTCAAGAATGCTACAATCTTACCTTTTTAAAAAGCGATGCAATTTATTTCATGAATTCTATAGCAAACTGAATCTATATTATTTTAATGCTTGATTAAGAAATTTACTAGTTGTTATGGGCATGATATTATTTGAAAAAATTTTCAGGTGATTCGTGACCTTGAACTTCTTTGTGACAGAATTTGTCAAGCAGTTCCTGAGAAGTATTTGGTATCTACAGCACGGATAATGTTCTAAACACAGCCATTTCATCTATTTCCTAACTAAAAGAATATGGAATCAAAGCTGATGGAAAAAATGCCTCTAAAACTCTTCCAAGTTTAATTGTATTTTTCGAAAGCAGCTTGTTAAAAGTCCAGTATTTGTCTTTATATTATTGTTGTAAGCTGTGTTTGAAGAGTATTTATGAATATAACAGAATAATATTTAGTTGTTTTCCTGTTTTTATGGTTACAGCTGAAAACATCGCGGACGAAAACGTCGCGAAGAAAATAACGCAAGGCGAAAACGTCGTGCTACAAAACATCATGGGAGGAAACATCGCAGTTCTAAAACATCGTCGTCGAAAATAAAGAGGGTAAAAAACTTCGTAGTTAAAAAACATCGTCGTCGAAAATATAGTGGTAAAAAATAAAGCACCTGCAAATCATCGCATGATGATAACATCGCACACATACGTTTTTCATGTTTTAATGTTTTAAAAGTTATAAATGCATATTCGCATAAAGATTTGGAAATGCAAGAAGAATAAACGGAAACAGAACAGGATACAATTTTCACCAAAACAATATTAAATAACCAAAGGTGAAAAAAAGTAATTTGATAATAATTAAGCGATTTTTATAGAGGTAACCTCATGCGGTTTTTATCTTCTTTTCCTAGACATTTTTTAGGCTATATTTTTCATGAAAAAAATTGAGTAAAAGTTTATAATAAAAAGAGTAATTTATTAATAATCTTTGTTAATTAACTATGTTGTAGAGACATTAGGTATTCTGGAAGCAGGAAAGATGAAAAATATGCAAAGCCTTCGCCGGGAATCGAAACACGGACCTCTATATGTCTATGTATAGACACTCTAAAAGCCTCACCAATTTTAAAACTGCATACGACAAATACATTTAAAATACACAAAATACGCACACTAATAATATATTTTATTCCCCTACAAATTGTCTTTTCATTGCAAATTTAGTTCTTCCTTTTTGAATTGCTGAAAAGTTACAAAATGAAGTTATTATTTATATATAAACTCATCTGGTAGTTAGATTACTTATTTTAAGTCGTTCGGCAACATTGATTTGATTCAGAATGTGCTTGTAAAGAAAAAAATCAGATAAGTGTTACAGGAACTGGCCATATTCTCCGACAAGCGTCTGAATGCTCATAAAAGAGTACTAGATCTGGATGTCATTTTTTTATTCAAACCGGAAAAAAAAAAAGCTCTCCAGTGTTTCGCTGAAATATCTTGAAACAACATTTCCTTGATGTACATGTATTCATGTTCAGAATACCCCATTATAAAATCTATTAACACTAATATAAAATCAACAAATTAATAATTTACGTCTTTGTAGATACACTAGTCATTTAACATTATTTCGGAGTTACCAAAAAGTAGATTTTTATAAAATGATAAGGGAAGAAAGGGTTACTTTGGAATGGAAGAAAATAGAATTCCGTTTATTCTGAAACAGATAAAGAATTATTTATATGTTATGAGATAAAAATATTTAGGCATTTGGTATACTTTTTTTACATTGATTTGAGTTATACATGTTGCATGCTTAAGGGTAGAATAAAAAGAAAATTAACTATAAAAATGAAAAAATTGCAATCAATCAGTTTCTGTAATATGGCCTGAAAACTACCGTACTAATTTAAAAAATGAAGAACATATGCGCACCTTATGAATTTAATGTATCTAATTTTAATCAATTTGTTATGGAGAGTTTCTTTGACAACTGCCAAATTGTTGACTGTTTGCTTTTTTCTTGAAGTCTAACTAAATTTTTCAAACAAAAAAAAATAATGATAATAGTAAAAACAGTACAATAAGAACAAACAAAGTAAAAATATATTTCTTATCATAGCAGAAATTAATTAAAAAAATTAAACTTAGCAGCAAAAATTTGTGCAATGCAACTAAAATTTGCCGTACTATAGTCGCATTTAAGAATATATTTCTAAGCCCTTGATTTTTGTGTCGAAAAAGATAACACATCTTTTAGTCTTCGAAGTAATTTTACTTCATGTTTTACTTGCAGTATGCTACTTCTCTTGCTAAAATCTATCTTATTTTTCTAAGTTCTACAATTTCGGAATTAAATTTGTTTGGGATGTTTATTACAGTAATTACAGTATAGTAGGTATTATTTCAGTTCTTAAAACTTCATTATTACTTGCCATTTATCTACATGTAGTTTTATAACATCATAGAAAAATTTACAATTGTGCAATACTGCACCTTACTTTATTAAAAATCACATTGAGGCAATATAACATATTTCAGACATGCTGTAAGCATAAATCTGCTCCATTATATTTATCTTAGTCACAAAAATTCTCCTGTTCTATAAAGAAGTGCATTTTTTAATTCCGTGTTAATGGTTATTCGTCCCCATTTCCAATCAAAGATATGAAAATTATGTTTTCTCAATGAACAGATAGATCCCTTTATCATAACAGAAGGAAACTTTATTTTCTTTAAGGAAGTGATAGAGGAGATTTTTCTTCATAAAATGATAAGGGTATCACAATCTGTAACGATAATCATTATTTACGAGTGTGTGAATATTAAAAAAGTAATGTATATTCTACCATCTCAATTAAGCATTAGTAAAAATTTTTATAAATCAGATAATTTTATACTACAGCAATTCCAGAACCGGAAAGTAGTTAACACTTAGTTACGAGATTTTGCAATCTCTACACCATAAATTTTTCTTTCAGATATAATCATTGTTAGCACTCAACTGTAAGGGAAAAAAACAATTTAAAAAAATTCAGAGGAATTTTCAAGGAAAAGAACTGTAAGAGTTTAGTTGACTTAAAATGGTAGTTTTTTTTGGAAGAATGTATCTGTATCTTAAATTCTTATTACTTCTTTCACATATAGTTTTAAAAATTTGAAGCAAGAAAATTTCATTATCCCAGCAATTTTTTTAATGCTATTTAAACAAGTAGCATAGTTGTTTAATAAAAAATAAAAAATAAATTAATAGACCATATTTAATCGGAATACATACATATTAAAAATTTAATAGTTAATAATGTGCTGTACATTTTTACCCTCTTACGCAGAAACAAATTTAGTAAAAAATAATCACTACTTTCACACATAAACTTCTTATTTTGTAGGTGAGACTTAAAAAGTGCAGCATTTATGAGGATATGAAATAATGAGTATAAAATGCTGTCTTCATTAATAATGAAATACACTTATTGAAATTCTGTTGTAATGAGCATAACTATAACTAGATCATGGAAATTATGAGTACTGAATGACTATGAGTACGGATTATGAGTGAGCTTAAATGTATTCCCTTAGAGGTTTACTAATGATATAAAGAGTAATTATTAAAAAGAAAAAAAAAATATTACCTCTTGCCTTTGTGTACCCGAGTTTTAGTATGATAAACTTTGATATTTATGTATATTTCTAAATTTTACTGCATTTTAAAGTAAGTGATACGCAAAGCCTAGTTTATACAATCAGAGATCCTAGACAGAGCACAGTTTCAGGGACCTTCAATACATTTTTTACTTGATTTTATGCAAGAAAAATGGGATTATGGAAATATTCTGGTCTTAGTGAGTTTTGACAGTTACTAGGTTTAGAGTTTTTTTTTTTTTTTTGAAAACATACAGTCTCCTCCTGCACCACTAATGCACAATACGGGGCTTACAAAGGTAAGTTAACTAAAGCATTAAGTATTACATGCATAAATGAAACGATCAAAAACAAAGAATAGTAGTCTAGACTTCCCCAAAACATATAAATTCACTGGCCAAGTCACGCCAAATTTTTTAAAATCATTCTTCAAGCATAATCTAGGGCCATCAAAGTTAGGGCAGGAAAAAATTAAATGCTTCATATCCTGAGGTACGTTTTTTGCACAGTCATATAAATTATTCTTATCATATAAATTATTCTTATCTTAGATTGAAAGGAAAAAGGTAAATGCAAATTTACCGTGACCACATAAACACTCAGATAGTTTAAAATTAATAAAGAGGAAAAACTCGGAATTCAGTCTATGGTAAAAAGAACTTTTTGGTACCCTCAGCATTACAAGATAAAAATATATTCCTTATTCCACTTAGCTGAAAGCTTCTTATAATGAAAGGACATTCTTATAATGAGACTGTAATGTGAATTTGATAAAAATGTACTGCATGAAAATCTGATGCTGAAAAATGAAAGAGTTTATGTATTTAGTAAATCACAATATGATATTACAGTAAAATATTTTAGTAAACTAAGGAGGTTTACTAAAATATAGGCTATATTTCATAGTTTTTTTAATTAATGTGATTAAAACCGCATTTGAAGCTGAAGTTAATCGTTTTAAAATATCCTTTAATACCGTATCAATGAATTTATTTTTTCATCGAATGTCATAAACAGATAATTACTATATTTAAGAATGCGAATGCTTAAATATCTACTAAAATAGCTGCATTTTTTATTTAAAAATATCACAAAATATTTATTCGATTTAGGTCTCAAAATATTATTTGTTTGCTAGTTCAATGTCTTGGCTAACTTATGACTTCCATTCAACACCACAAATAACACAACAAATAGTTTCCATCTGCCATATCATATAGAACATAACAAAAGCAGGGAGGAAGCACGTAACTGACCGGTTCTAATTCTTGTTTAATTACAAGAATTTTATTTTAAATAAGAGTTATCTTTAGAGGCTTAAAATAAAAACGTTGCAGTTGCAAGTTCTTTGGTTTTTTAAGTCTCTTAAAATAATTAGTAAAAGCTACGAAGTAATGTCGGCAGGTGAAGAACAAAATAAACTTTCTTATCACTCCCAAACGATATTTTTGCTCTCCTATTCAATATAAATTGAGCCTTTTTTAAGCGTTAAATATTCATAACGTCTCATTTATGTATATTAGAATGAGTGAATGAAGCAAAATATGTAGAACAAAAGAATAACTGCTAGAAAAATAACATATACTAAGATCAGACAGCTGCACGTTACTAAAAGAGAATCAAAGTGGTAATTTAGCAGTATATAAATAAATCCAATAACTGAATTATTTAGTAAATTCTCAAAAATAGATGCCTTTTGTCTATCAGTTAAGCATATGCTTTTTTAAAAATTCAGTGTAAATATTAGCTAATGCAGATTTCTTTTCTAAATTTGTAGTGGTGATAAAATGTTAGACAATACATCTGCTTATGTATA